TTAAGAATTTATGAAACTTACCTGGTTTCGAGAGGTTGTGCCCGATATAAGCCTTTTTTGTGTTGTTATTGTTGTCTAGTAGGATGGGATCGAGATCCTCTATTGTCGACTCGGATGCTTCCACGATGTCAAGGTCCTTGAATTTGATGGATATAATTTATTCATATATTTTTATATGTAAATATTAAATATTTTAAATAAAATATGAATAAATATACCATGTTCTCTCATATTTTCTAACATACTTCGCAGGAGGAAGAGCGTATGAAAATTAAAGAAAAGAAGCAAAAAAGAGTGAGAATTGAGTAGTCAACCGGGAATGAAGAAGCAAATATAGCACCATAGTTGCGACAATGGTAATTGAAAATCATGAATGTGACGACCCGGCCCGTCGTCACGTGAGTTACCGTCCCGTTTTTCCCATATTATGTTTCTCTATGCTTCATTATCGGTATTTGAGGTAATCGAGTTGGATTGGTTTGGTTTTGGTAGGAAATGAGACATTTAGTCTCTTTAAGGAAAGCTTGTTTTGGAAAAGTCAACCGGAAGTTGACTAGTTAGTTAGAGGGCTCGGATGTGATTTCCGGTGATTCGGTTAGCTTCGGGGGATGATTTGTGACTTAGGAGCGTGATCGGAATTGGTTTTGGAGGTCCGGTGTAGAATTAGGCTTGAATTGGCGAAGTTAGTATTTTGGCAAATTCCGGTTGGTAGGTGAGATTTTGATCCGAGGATCGGAATGGAATTCCGAGAGTTGCAGTAGCTCCGTTAGGTGATTTTGGATATGTGCGCAAAATTTCAGGTCATTCAGAGATGTTTTGGTCGGGTTTTTGATCGAATGCGTATTGCGGAAGTTTTGAAGAAACTTAAGCTTGAATTCGATGTGATTTAATGGTTTTAGCGTTGTTTGACGTGTTTTGAGGATTGGAACAAGTTTGAATAATATTTTAAGATGTGTTGGTAACTTTGGTTGAGGTCCCGGGGGCCTCGGGGTGGCTGACGGAAGGAATTTGAAGTTGGAAAATTGCAGGTTTTTGGTTGCAGCAGGTGTTTCCGCATCTGCGGAAAGGAGATCGCAGATGCGGTCTCGCAGAAGCGAGCTAGGCCTCGCAGGAGCAGGAATAGGAGCCCAGGTCAGGTTCCGCAGAAGCGAGACATTGGGTCGCTTAAGCGGTCCCGCAGATGCGAAGTTGGACCGCAGAAGCGGAAAGTCGCCTTAAGTGAAAGGTCCGCAGGAGCGGACGTTGACCGCATAAGCGGAAGGCGCAAAAGCGGGAATTTATCCGCAGAAGCGGAAATAACTGGCTGATTAAGTGAGAACATCTTCTTCGCGAATTTTTGAAAGAGTGACATTTTGGACTCCGAACCTTGAGAGCTTTGAGGCGATTTTGAAGAGGGATTCGAGGGCTATTATCAGGTATGAACTCTTGGACTTAGAGCTTGATTTTATGGTGTATAAACATGAATTTGGACTGAATAATCAAGGAATCAAAGGTCAAAAATGGTGGTTTAGGGCTTGAATTTAAGAGAGTTTAAAATAGGGATTTGAGGGGTCAAATGGACCCCGATTTTGATGATTTTGATATGTATAGACTCGTGGCGAGACGAGGAATCCGGAGATGTGAATTTCGTAATTTTTCGAGAAGTGGGCCCTGGACTTGGATTTTGCCAACTTCGTGATTTTTGATATTTTTCGAGTCCTTCGATTGGGTTACGACCCATTAGCCTATTGTGATGTATTTCTTGTGGTTTTGATCAGATTCGACGTGCGAGGAGGTCCATTCGAGGGGAAAAGGTATAGCGAGCTAGACTTTGACCGGCTAGAGGTGAGTAATGATTTTAAATAATGTTCTTAGGGTTTGAAAACCCCGGATTTGCACAACTTAGTGCTATGTTGAGATGAGACACGCGTTCCATGACGAGCGGGGTCATTTACTATTGGGGACTGTGACTTGGTCTAGTCCGGATGATATTTTACTGCGTATTAGCAATGACTTGTTGTTTTCGCTATGATTTGGGCTTGTTGCCATATTTGGGGCTTATTGCCGACTGTCTGAACTCTTTATGAACTATCATCACTGTTTTCATCACTGTTTGAAATATTATTTGAACTCAGTCCATGTGATTTACACTGTTTCTTCAACTCAGCCATATTTACTCAAACTTGGAGTTTTAAACTGATATTTGAGCTATTGTTTGAGCTGAGTATTATTGTTTTACTGTTGCCCGAGGGGCTGTTGAGTATTTCTGGAATGATTGAGGCCGAGGGCCTTATGTGAGGGCATGATGAGTGAGGTGAGGAGGCTTTCAGGCCTCGTATTGATACTGTTCAGGCTTTCAAGCCTTGTTGATAGCGCTTGGGCTGTAGGAGCCCCTCCGGAGTCTGCACACCCACAGTGAGCGCGGGTACCCATCTTGAGTGATTAAATATTGAACAGTGGTAACAATGACACTGTTATACGCGTTTGGTCAGGTAACAATGACTGACCAGTCAGGTAACAATGACTGACCAGTGGTAACAATGGCACTGTAATACGCGTTTGGTCAGGTAACAATGGCTGACCGGTCAGGTAACAATGGCTGACCATACTTGAGCATACTTATTTTATTAATTGTTTTCAAAGAGATTTTTCTTCCTATATTTCACTGGTTTCTACTGTTTATCTGATGTTGCTGCTTGAGATAGCATTATTTGTGCCCTTGTGGAATTTTATGTTCTCAGTCGTTATTTAATTTTATTACTCACTGGGTCGGAGTACTCACATTACTTCCTGCACCATGTGTGCAGAGACAGGCACAGCTGAGTTCGTACCTGAGCGCTGATTTCCTTCCAGACCAAGCGGACCAGGAGAGACGAGGTAGCTGTCGACGTCCACAGCCCCGTTTCTTCCTTATCTTCTGCATATTTTATTCATCTTCAGACTATGTTTCCAGACTTGTAGTATTTTCATCAACTTTGTAGTAGCTCGTGACTTGTGACACCCCGATCATCGGGCTGAGTTTGGGATGGTTTTTTTCCCCCGTTATGTTACGTTTATTTTCGTACTTATGATTAATCAGTATCTATGGTTTAAACCTGTTATGCTAAGAAAATGTTAAAAAGCAGTGTTGATTGTTCTGTTGGCTGGCCTTGTCTTCACGAGAGGCGCCATCACGACCGAGCAGGAATTGGGTCGTGACAATGAAGCAAATTACATAGTTGCAACTAGCAAACTATAGTTGAAACTATGGTTCTTCCTCTGCAGAATGAAACTCAATTGGCAAAGTCATAGTTGCACCTACAATTTTCATAGTTGCAACTATGGAGAACCTTAGGCAAGAAAACTCTATAAATAGAGTGAATTTTGAAGAGAAGACATCGAGTCTTGGAGAGAAGAACAATTCTTGGTCTCTATTTTGTCTTTACTATTCCTAAGTCCTAGTAGTTATCTTTTTGTGAAAAATAATATCGTTGTATCAATTCTTCGTATTTCTACACTAGTTTCTTTTTCTAACTTCATAATGGAGTAATCTTTTTTTGTTGGGATAGTTGATGAAGCTTGATATATATATATATATATATATATACTATCTCAGTTTTAATACATTCTTGCTTTGAAACTTTCTATTTATATTTTATATTGTACTATAATAATGGTTTTTAACTAATCATTGTTATCACTTCTACATATTTTATCTTTAAGTTATTCTCATATTAATTTTGTAATTCTCACGGAGCAAAATTAATATATAGTAACTATTGAATAAAATAGTGAAGTGAGAGTAATTATTAGTAAGCTATTATTAAAAGTCGGTAATCTTGCTTGCCTCAATTTTAATTCTCACGGAGGAATTATAGTCGCAGGAGTATTGATTTAGTAAAAATATTCACACGAAGTTCTTACTATCTTTTAGCACAATTCAGACCAGAAGATATTTCGGTTTAACCGTCACTAATTTTAACTCAATTAATTACATAACCTCACGGAGTGTTATTAGTTGATTAATTCTTGGTGAGATAAGATATAATTGTATTAGCAAAAAGCAATTATCCTTTAGAGAAATACATGTAGAAAGTGACATTTTATTATAATATATTATCAAGTGAATTCAATGATTCCCAACTCTTTTAAATTATAAATCTTTAGAAAGTTGTTTAATTTTGTTAAGTATTTAACAAGTTTTAATTCCACAAACTTTTCATCAATCTGATTCTCTCAAATAGTAGCTAAAATATTATAAGTCTGTAGAATAAATTTTCCAATCTCTGTGGGACGATATCATAAACTATACTAGAATTTGACAAAGCACGAGCAGGAAATTCCTATACACATTGGCCTCGTCAAATTTTTGGCGCCATTGCCGGGGATTGGCATACATCTACTTCAGATTAAATATTTTATTACTAATTTGAGAATTTATTACTGTTATTTTTGTTTCAGTTAATATTTTCACTAATTAAGTGTTATAACTACTTACAGTGATATTAATCCTAATGTAATGTTTTTGTTCTTATTGGTATTGTAAAAGTTTTTTTTTTCTCTTTTGTATTATTTCTTCCTACTAGTTCCATCATTAATTGTTTTTTAGCAAATTATACATACTGCTATTAGTACTCTCTTCTTTATCATAATAATAGTGTTATAACTACTATTTACTATTTTTATAACGTGTATATTTATAATTGTTATACTATTGTTAGTTATTTCACATTAAAAAAAAAATTTACTACTAAAAAATATTCATATGACCATTCCAACTATATGTATTATCAGTAATTACTTTTGTCCATATATAATAGTATTATAGTATTATTTTTTGTCATAGTTCACTGTTACGTCAGTTTATTTTTCTTTATGTCTATTTTGTTATAATTTTGAGTATAATATTATTATTCTCTATAGATAATAAAATTATCGTACAATTATTTTTGCTTAGCTCCTACTATTTTTATCATTTTTATAATTTCTATATACTTATATCTTTTCTTGTACTTTCTTTACTTAAGAATTTTAAGTAGTTTATGACCCGCTCTTCTACAAAAGAGTTGATCAGTTACGATCCTGAAATTGAAAGATATCTTCGATTGCGCAGGAAAGAACAAACATCGTCTTCTCAAAGAGCAACTTGTGAAGAAATGGAAAACCAGGAAGCAGAGGACATTAACCCACTTGGGATCCCACCACCAGTCCAGGTAGAGGAGCAATTTGATGAAGTGGCGCCAAGGCCAGCAAACAGAATCCTGAGGGATTATGCTAGACCTGATCGCTTCAACTGTGAATCTAGTGTCAGGAAGCCCCCAGTGGCAGCCAACAGCTTTGAAATCAGGACCGTCCTGATTCAGACAATTCAACAATCTTGTATCTTCACTGGTGATACAAGTGAAGACCCACATAGTCATTTAATTGATTTTTTAGAACTTGTAGAAACTGCTAAGTACAATGGGGTACCTCCTGAAGCTATCAAGTTAAGGCTATTTCCTTTTTCTTTAAAAGGAGATGCCAAGACTTGGTTGCAAAGTTTGCCTCAAGGGTCCATTACGACATGGGACCAAATGACTCAGAAGTTTTTAAACAAATATTTTTCCCCTGCTAAAACAACAAAGTTAAGACAACACATATCTAATTTCTTGCAGACTGACACTGAGTCAGGTTATCAAGCTTGGGAAAGATTAAAAGCAATGTTAAGAAAATGCCCACACCATGACATTCCTAAACATATGCAATCGTACAGGCTAATACCCTCTGCTAGAAATGTGATAGATGCAGCCGCAGGAGGTTCTGTAATGGGAAAAACCACAGAGGAAGCATTGCAGCTGTTGAATGAAATTTCTGAGAACGTTATCTAATGGCCATCTGAGCGTGTAATCATTAAAAAGGCTGCTACGGAAAATCAGGTTGATGCTTTAAATACACTAACGCAACAGATTGTTTCTTTGGAACAAAAGTTTGAATCTTTCCAGGTGAATACACAACAATCAAACCAATCTGAGGCTTGTGACATATGCGGAGGAAACCACCAGAACCATGAATGTCAAGCAACCAATCAAATGGATGAACAAGTTAATGTCATCGGTTGCAAGCCATATCCTTTTGGGAGTCCAATGGCACAAAAGCATCCAGGATTTCAGTGGAGTAACCCAAATGGTGCAGAAAACTCTCAAAGCTTCCAGCAACAACAAGTACAGGGTCCGCCGGGATACCAGAGTCAAAATCGTGGACAACTAGGTTATAGACCTTATCAACAACCAGGACCATATCAACAAGCAGGGTCATACCAGCAGAGGCCCCAACAAGCTCATCCAAGTCTTGATGACCTTTTATACAAGTATATTAAGGTCACTGATGAAAAGATGGAAAGCCAAAATTCATCCCTCAAAAATATGGAAATTCAGTTAATCCAATTGGCAGCTCTTGAGTCAGAAAAGATTCAGGGTCCCTTACCAAGCAATACAGAGAAAAATCCAAAGGAGCACCTTAAGGTCATCGCTTTAGGGTCAGGTAAGGAACTTGATGAACCTTATGCGGACAAGCAAGAAAAGAACCAGACTAAACAACAGGTAGATAAGGGTAAGAATGTTGAAAAACCATCTGAACCATCAAAGGAGAAAGAAATAAAGAATAAGGAAAAAAAATTCTGAAAAAATGGCTGCCCCACCTGTGACAATTCCTTTTCCACAAAAAATGAAACGAGAAAAGCTTGATGGTTATTTTGCAAAGTTTTTGGAAATCCTAAAACAGATTCATATTAATATTCCTTTTACTGATGCTTTGTTGCAAATGCCTTCATATGTTAAATTTTTAAAAGAAATTTTGTCAAGTAAAAGGAAATTGGAAGAAGTTTCTATAGTAATGCTTACTGAAAAATGCAGTGCTATACTTCAAAATAAGCTACCACGAAAACTTGGTGATCCTGGCAGTTTTACCATTCCATGCACTCTGGGAGAAGTATATTAAAAGCACTTTGTGATTCTGGAGCTTCAATAAATTTGATGCCATTTTCGATCTTTAGAAAATTGGATCTTGGTGAAATGAAAGACATAGGTGTTTCTCTTTAGTTTGCAGATGAAAGTACTAAGAAACCTAAGGGAATAATTGAAAATGTGCTTGTAAGAGTAGATAAGTTTGTGTTCCTTGTAGATTTTATAGTGCTTGAAATGAAAGAATGTCCTGATGAACCAATAATTTTGGATAGACCATTTCTTGCTACAGGGAGAGAAATCATAGGTGTTCATCAAGGACAACTAATTTTGAGGGTTGATGAAGAAAGAGTCATTTTTTATATGCAAAAGATACTAAGATTTTCAGGAGATGAGGCATCATCTTCATGCTTTTCTATTGACATGATTAGTGATCTTGCAGATGAATTCAAAGATGATAAATTAATTTCAGACTCAATGGAAAGATGTTTGACCAAATCAGGCACCGCACAAGATGATGATCCCACAATTAGAAGAGAAGGCGATATGCACGGGATTGAATTTCTAGAATGTGTTGGCTTGCTCGATATTGGANAGTAATTATTTCATCTTCCTTGACTGCAGAACAAGAAGAAAGACTAATTCAAGTCTTAAAAGCACACAAAGGAGCCTTAGGGTGGACTGTAGAGGATATCAAAGGGATTAGTCCAGCAATTTGTACGCATAGAATCCTCATGGAAGATAGCTACAAGCCAATAATCCAACCCCAAAGGAGATTGAATCCTGCAATGCAGGAAGTGGTGAAAAAGGAGATTGTCAAGCTTCTAGCGGCAGGTATTATTTACCCAATTTGAGATAGCCCTTGGGTAAGTCCAGTTCAGGTAGTACCAAAGAAAGGAGGTATGACAGTTATAAAGAATGAAAATAATGAACTCATACCTACGAGGACTGTTACAGGATGGAGAGTCTGTATTGATTATAGACGTCTCAATGATGCTACCAGAAAAGATCATTTTCCTTTACCATTTATTGATCAAATGTTAGAAAGAATTGCAGGATATGGTTTTTACTGTTTTCTTGATGGCTATTCAGGGTATAACCAAATACCAATTGCACCCGAAGATCAGGATAAGACAACTTTCACATGTCCTCATGGAACATATGCATACAGGAGAATGCCATTTGGTCTGTACAACGCCCCAGCTACATTTCAGCGTTGCATGTCAGCAATTTTTTCTGACATGACTGAAAAATTTCTTGAAATTTTTATGGATGATTTCACACTCTTTGGCAAAACATTTGAAGATTGTCTTTACCACTTGACTTTAGTTCTTAAGAGATGTGAGGAGACAGACTTGATTCTGAATCGGGAAAAATGTCATTTTATGGTTACAGAGGGAATTATTTTAGGACATAAAATCACTGCTAACGGGATAGAAGTTGATAAGGCTAAAATTAATCTTATAGCAGGATTACCCCCTCCCACAACTGTTAAAGGCATTAGAAGCTTTCTAGGTCATGCAGGTTTTTACAGACGGTTCATAAAGGATTTTTCAAAGATTTCAAAACCTCTGACTAACCTCTTGATGAAAGATGTTAAGTTTGATTTTTCAGGTGATTGTATGATAGCTTTTGACACCCTTAAGGAGAAATTATCAACTGCTCCTGTAATTGTATCCCCTGATTGGAGTCAACCTTTTGAGGTTATGTGTGATGCTAGTGATACGGCAGTTGAAGCTGTTTTAGGCCAAAGAAAGGATAAGATTTTTCGTCCCATTTACTATGCCAGTAGAACACTAAATGAGGCTCAACTGAATTATGCCACAACAGAAAAAGAGTTACTGGCAGTAATATTTGCATTTGATAAATTTCGTTCTTATTTGATAGGAACGAAGGTTACTGTTTTTACTGACCATGCAGCTTTAAAATACCTCTTAGTAAAAAAAAATGCTCGACCTAGATTGTTAAGATGGATTTTACTTCTGCAAGAATTTGACCTTGAGATAAAAGATAAAAAAGGAACAGAGAATCAGGTAGCTGACCATTTGTCTAGGCTAGAAGACCCTCCCCTTGAGTTTAGCGAGATAAAAGAAGAATTTCCTGATGACATTTTTTTAGTTGACTCTGTTGTGACTCAACTACCCTGGTTTGCAGATATTGCTAACTACTTGGTTGGAAGATGGACACCCCAAGATCTCTCATACCAATAAAGAAAAAAGCTTATTTCTGATGCTAAGCATTATTTGTGGAATGAACCTTACTTGTTCAAAATTTGTGCAAATAATATCATCAGGAGGTCCTGAAGAAGAAATGACCAAAATTTTGTATCACTGCCATGATAGAGCAATTGGAGGTCATTATGTTGCAAACCATACGGCATTTAAAGTATTGGAGGCCGGATTTTTCTGGCCAACACTCTTCAAAGATGCCCGAGCATATGTCGCACAATGTGACAGGTGTCAGAAAACAGGTAATATCACTAAGAGAGATGAGATGCCATTGCAATCAATATAGGTATGTGAAATATTTGACGTTTGGGGAATATATTTCATGGGCCCCTTTCCTTCTTCTCATTCGTTTGAATATATCCTTGTGGCTGTGGATTATGTATCAAGATGGGTTGAAGCCATCCCCACAAGGAAGAATGATGCTCATACAATGTATAATTTTCTTAGAAAAAATATTTTTACTAGATTTGGCACACCTCGAGTCATCATTAGTGATCAAGGAACTCATTTCATGAATAGGCAATTTTTTGCTTTGCTATCAAAATATAGTGTGACTCACAAAACTGGAACACCATATCATGCTCAAACACAGGGGCAAGTTGAGGTTTCCAATCGCGAGTTAAAAAGAATTCTTGAAAAAACGGTTGGAATTTCAAGAAAAGACTGGTCTTTAAAATTAGATGATGCATTATGGGCATACCAAACGGCATTCAAAACACTAATTGGAACATCCCCATATAAATTAGTCTTTGGAAAGGCTTGCCATTTGCCAGTTGAATTAGAACACAAAGCTTTTTGGGCACTGAAAGCATTAAACTTTGAATTAACCTCTGCTGGTAAAAAGAGATTTTTTCAGGTTAATGAATTGGAAGAACTGAGGTTGGAAGCTTATGAAAATGCCAGAATATTCAAAGAAAAAACAAAAATATGGCATGACAATTTGATCCGACAAAAAAGTTTCAAAATTGGAGATCAAGTACTTCTTTATAATAGTAGGCTGAGGTTATTTCCAGGGAAATTAAAATCTAGGTGGACGGGCCCTTATAATGTTACAGATGTTACTCCATATGGGGCAATTGAAATTCAACAGATCAATGGAGGAGACAAATTTAAGGTAAATGGTCACAGGTTAAAGTTGTATTTTGGAGGCCATTTTGAGCAACAACCATCGGTAACCTTGATAGCCTAATACTTTATAAGTCGAGCTGTCGACATTAAACTCAGAACTGCAATTTCTTTACCCGTAGCCATTGAGGGTGAAGCAATGGAGCCTCATAAGTCCAACATAGATTTGAGTAATTAAATGCTTAACTAATTGATCTGGTTAATATCCAGATTCTTCTACAATCGGAANTACGACCTTTTAAGCCTTTTAGCGAAAACTTAAGTTAGTAAGAGGTTTTACAGTTTTCCAAACGTTGACGTTTAGTTACGTAGTAAGAGTAGTGTAAGGAGAACGTAGACGTTAGATTACGTTGAAATCGGGAAAAATTGGTTACACGTTTTAATGGTTTAGAACGTAGGGAAATTTAGTTTTAGTACGATAAAATAGACCTTAGGCTAACGGGTATAGAAAGTTTGATTAGGACTTAAATAATCCTTATTAGCACGGAGTTTAACCCCCTCCCTAACGACTCGTTTTAAAGGCATTTTAGAAGCTTTTCTAGGTCATAGCAGTTTTTACGAGTACGGTCATAAAGGATTTTCTAAGATTTCAAAACCTCTGACTAACCTCTTGATGAAAGATGTTAAGTTTGATTTTTCAGGTGATTGTATGATAGCTTTTGACACCCTTAAGGAGAAATTATCAACTGCTCCTGAATTGTATCCCTGATTGGAGTCAACCTTTTGAGGTTATGTGTGATGCTAGTGATACGGCAGTTGAAGCTGTTTTAAGGCCAAAGAAAGGATAAGATTTTTCGTCCCATTTACTATGCCAGTAGAACACAAATGAGGCTCAACTGAATTATGCCACAACAGAAAAAGAGTTACTGGCAGTAATATTTGCATTTGATAAATTTCGTTCTTATTTGATAGGAACGAAGGTTACTGTTTTTACTGACCATGCAGCTTTAAAATACCTCTTAGTAAAAAAAAATGCTCGACCTAGATTGTTAAGATGGATTTTACTTCTGCAAGAATTTGACCTTGAGATAAAAGATAAAAAAGGAACAGAGAATCAGGTAGCTGACCATTTGTCTAGGCTAGAAGACCCTCCCCTTGAGTTTAGCGAGATAAAAGAAGAATTTCCTGATGACATTTTTTTAGTTGACTCTGTTGTGACTCAACTACCCTGGTTTGCAGATATTGCTAACTACTTGGTTGGAAGATGGACACCCCAAGATCTCTCATACCAATAAAGAAAAAAGCTTATTTCTGNCCATATCATGCTCAAACACAGGGGCAAGTTGAGGTTCCAATCACGAGTTAAAAAGAATTCTTGAAAAAATGGTTGGAATTTCAAGAAAAGACTGGTCTTTAAAATTAGATGAT